CCACCCCGCTGCTGGAGCCGCAGCGGCACGCCAAGAGCGAGGACCGTTTACAAAATAGCCTGCCGTGAGGTAAAGCCAGCGCCGGGGAGAAGAGAAGAGTTCACACAAAAACGAGCCTTGTACTAACATCATAAACCGGTACTGCCCTGCCCGCCTGCACTCCCTGGCACGGCACCCGTTAGCACCCCCTCTGCTCACCTGCACGCGATTATCAAACGGGGCAGATCCTTAATTCGCTTCCTCCTACCTGCTCCAATTCTTTCTTTTCCTTTTGTCCATAATTTCTTTTCCCCCGATGCAACCGGCCTCCTCCTATAATATACTTCGCAGAGCAACGCACCCGCGTGCGGATCATCGCGATATCCATTTCCAAGGAAAGATGAGAATCGATCCCGCGCGACTAGTTTCCTCCCACCTTTACGCAACTTGCGTTGCCCGCAGTATTTTTCATACCGTCCATCTAATCCCCTGTATTACTTTCGAGCCCCGCCCCTCTTCCTCCATCACAGGCCGCGAGGAATAAAACAGTGAGATAAAGAAACACAACCCGCGGTTATCCGTAAGACCTGCAAATAACCTTCTCCGAGACAAGGAGACGCATGGCAGGCGACAGCAACGGCCGCCGCTGCTAAAATACGCCCTTTTACTGACCACAGGTGTCGGACGGCCTTTCAGAGTAGTAATTTCTCATCCATTCCCCGGCGTTATGACACCGCATTGTTTTGTTCCGATATGCCGCCCGGCGCATAGCTAGTCTTTTGTTGCGCAAGGCGATGCAGGCCGGTCCAAGAAGTGTTCGAGATAAGTCGGGGCGAGGCCGAGCCGAATTTCTATACGGCGGGTCCCAACGCAGCGCCCCTCGAGGGGCAGTGCTCGGCTCGCTTCGTTTCGACGCCGAGTTCCGCTCGTTTGTGTTGTTCACAGGGGCGTACTGGCCCGGCGGGGAACCGGGGAAACCCCCGGGGGGCCCCCCCTAAAAGGTATCTTTTGGGGCCCCGCAGGGGCCCGCAGGGGCCCGCCTGGACCGTGGGCCCGTAGGGCCCGCAGCCGCAGGGCCCGGACGTGTTTTCACGCCCTTCCCCCAAAAATGAGACATTGTCTTTACCGTGCGAGCATTTGAGGGTTTTTGGGCTCATTCAGTCCTTAAAATAAGAAAAATTCGCTCGCTTCGCTCGCAATACTTTTCTTCAATTCCCTGAGTTTGCGTTCTTCCTCGTAAAATACTCAGGGTGTAAGGAAAATAATTTTTCATTTCAATTTCACAAAAAGAGAAATGCAATAGGGTGTTCAGCGCTTTCCGGGCGGTCTATAACGCCTAAAAAATTTCGCTCGCTCCGCTCGCGATTCTTTTAGGGTGTAAGGAAAATAATTTTTCATTTCAATTTCACAAAAAGAGAAATGCAATAGGGTGTTCAGCGCTCTCCGGGCAGTCTATAACGCCCAAAAAAATTTCGCTCGCTCCGCTCGCGATTTTTCTATTCTATTCTTCATTTGTGTGATTGTGTCTTTACGAAAGGAATCCGACAAGCCTTATACTTAACACACACGTTCGATAACAATGGCTGAAAAAAAGGTTAAGTTGCCCCTAGAAGGTAGGCAATTCGGGGGCCCCCCTAGATCCTTTCCCCCGCCTAGGCCCACACACCCAGTACGCCCCTGGTTGTTCACGCACTCTGACATTTTCGGTCGCCCATGGCATGGCTCTGTATGGGACTAAACTATGGCCTTATCTCTACTGCCGTGATTTTCACGGGTAATTCAGAGCAGGGCGAACGAGAAAGCGTGTTATTGCGGGTGCGTGTAAATTATCCGAAGCGGCAATTTTAAACATGAAAGGTCTTTAAGAAATCGTCGGTTCACTGCTTTTCCCTTGCTGTTTCGTTGGCAGCGTACTGCTCCCGATGATGTGACTAGACCACTGCAGCTGCAGCCCCGAGGTAGATGACGTCCCAGCTTTGAGGAAGCTGGCGACTTATTATGACTATAATTGCGACTCAAATTGAAATGAAGAGGAGGAAAAGGAAAGAGTAAGAAGGAGATCAGCGTCGAATGACCGAAACAGAGCTGTCTCGGAGTTTCCCTGTCCCCCTGCCGCCGGTTGCCACTGGAGGAGACTTGCACGCGGGGAGCAGCTAGAGTCTCTGGATTTGTCTGAAGTTGTTAAGAGTTCTCATTGAATAATTTAAATTATATTTCAGGAGATAGCGTTTAAAACAAAATTCATACAAAATTCGGAGAAGTGTAGCTTTGATGTAGGCTTCTTTTTTTATATATAGAATTTTAGAATACTCAATTTCTTTTTGAGAATTTCCATTCTTTGGAGCGTCGTCTGCTGCGTGTGTTCCGGAACACATTACCCCGACATAGCTGACGGCGGACATATGGGAGGGGAACAAGGTTTTGCAACAGTGTGCACCACCGCCGTGGTGTAGCTTCTTGCATATATACATCAGGGAGCCTTTCGGTTCCCAGTGCGAATCCCACGGCTTGCTGGAATCTCCCATGCCATATGTGGGTCACGAGTGTTGCGGGCTTGCCCACCCTAAGTACCGGTACTCATATCTGTCCATTAGGCCGTGATCTCTCTCTCTCTCTCTCTCTCTCTCTCTCTCTCTCTCTCTCTCTCTCTCGTTAGCGTTCGGCCGTTCCTCAAAATTTTTCATACCGGTCGTTTTGGAACGTGCGCTCGCGCTCGCCGGGATGCGCAGCCAGCCAATCCTTCCCTGTCGGTTTCCCTGTCGGTTTCTCTCCTCCCGCTCAAGTTCGGGTCCTTTCTCGGAACTAGCACCAGCGCCGCGGCCCCTGATATCGCCCGGCCGGGCCCCGAAGGCTCCGAAGGCCCCGAAGGCGCCCTCTTTGCGTCACACCCACGGGTGTCGTCGTCCATCAGCGCCGCCCTATTCCTAGAAGAAGACTCTCTCGCGGTATACCGGTCGGTGTCACACTACACGGCCGCCGGTGTGGTGTGTCGCCCGAGAACGATATGACGGGTGAAAGAGGCGCCGCTCCGTTCAATTTTTCATACAACTTTCATGTAACGGGAGGGCCGATAGTGTCGAGTACCCTCCTCCCCTCTCCCCGCCGCGTCGCCGCTGTCGTCCTCCTGGCCAGGCCAGGCCGTGCCCCTTTTCTGCCCGGAAACCAACCGCGCCGGCCGATCGCGGCGTCGTCGCCTCATCCTTTTTCCACGATAACTGATCATCATTTCCCTTATGTAGGCCGGCCCCGTCTTGGCGCACACGGACGGCGGCCGATCCGCTGGACGACGTCCCCCCGCTAGAGCCAAGTTCAATACTATGAGGTCAGTGGTGGTGGACCCGACAATGGCTATCGCCGGAGGGGCCAGCGCCGAGATGACCTTTCATTGTTGCCCGCCTCCGGGCCGTGGAAGTGGCGGTGGTGGCGAGCACTGTTGGGTATACGTCTCCGCCCGATTCAATTTTACCGTTAAATCAAACGCTTAGCGATGTCGCGTATACTGTATAGTCTACACACACACTCACACTTAAACACCGCCTGCACCGCGCTGGTGGTGGACATGCGCTCTGACTGACCTTCCACGCCGCGCTGCGATCCGCTACACGGGCCGCCTGCTCAGCGGCGGCGGTGCACTGCGTGTCGTGAGAACTTTTTTGTTTTCCTCCTTTTTACCCCCCCCCCC